TTTTTTCTTGTCTACTTTTAACCAACAAAAAGTAATTATTTTGACAGTCTTTATAAATAGGCCCCCTAGAATCATTTTATTTTTACAATTGATACATTCATATAGCACTGCAACATTGTACTGCTTAAGCTTTGTTGTCATTTTTCAACTAATAGCACATGTGGTCTGTACATGAGGTGGAACTTGCTGCTGATTTAGATTCATATTAACAGTAACTTTTGCTCTCTAAACATTGCTGCTGTATGACATGAGTATCACAAAGAAGCCTGGTTTCAGTCTTTTGCCCATAAAATGGATATAATAAAGGGGGTGGGACTACGTTCTGTATTGTTTCTTGTGTCATAAGTTAGTAGTGCAAGAGCGGATGCATTGCTGTGCGTTCTGGAAACATACCAACACACAACTATAAATGGGCGCCTAGTGTGTCCATACACACCAATTACTTTGGGCTGCATTGGTTTATGTTGCTCAAACATAGCCTCAACACAAGGCCTCAACACAAGGACAAGGCAAACTGCCTGCACTAGTGTGCATTAGTTGAAAATAGAACATGTTGCATTGAAACACAGCAACCTGTTCTGACATGTATTAATGAAAAAAAAATGTAATTTGGCTCCTTATGTGAAAATGCAAATGTATGTCAGCACAACTATCTAAGAAACACATGTAAATGCACGTCAACTCAAGTAAATTTAGTCTCAAACACATGGTATGACTGCACGTGGCACACAAGTGGTGTAACTGTAGCCTGACTGCATTTACACTTGTTTATTTTATTTCAGCAAAAATCAGGAATTGTGTTGCTTGAAAAAAGTATATTAAAGAGGATCTTCAATCCCCCCCCCCCCAAAAAAAAAAGTTTGAAGTGGTTGTAAAGGTTAAACGTTTTTTTAAAAATAACAAACATAGGGTCCCCTGCCAGCACTCCTGGCCCCTCCTTCCCACCAAGTGCCCTCCATAGCAAGCTGCTTGCTATGGGGGCATTCATGAGGGCTCACTTCTGCAGACAAACAGAGCACAGCTCAGTCCTGCTTCCACCTCACTGGCTGTGATTGACAGCAGTGGGAACCAATGGTTCCCTTCTGCTGTGTCAGAGTCAATGAGGAGGCAGAGAAAAGTTGAGAGAGCCTCTGCTCTTGTGCACATCACTGGATCGAGATCAGGCTCAGGTAAGTATAAGGGGTGGCGGGGAAAGCTGCATGCAGAGAATGCATTACAGTAAAATACTTTCTGCCTTTAGAACCACATTAAAAGTCAGCAGCTACAAATACTGTAGTTTCTGACTTTTAATGAAAGGATACTTACCTGTCCAGGAAATCAGCACTGTCATCATCCAGGTGGGTTTTTCAACAGTCTTTGGGTCCCCCAGCGATGGCACAGCTGACCTCCCATTGCATATGTGGGAGCCACGCTGCATTTGTGAATGGACCCTGTGACGTGTCCCAGAAGGCTGTGGGCAAAGAGAGGGGAAGGCTGAACCAGATACCCACTCCCTTCCTAAAAAATAAATATATCAAACAAGGTGGTGGTGGGGGGAAAGAGTAGAAAAAAGTGAAAATTTCCCTTTTGGGTGAAATTCTGCTTTAAGTATTAATTCCATTGTGTCCTATGTGGCTGGATCACATATGTGCACTGAAGTTTAGAATGTTTGTAAGGAAAACATTAAAGGCCTGTTCATACCTACATAGTGTTAGTACATGCACAAGAAACAATGTGAATCCAGCCTTAAAGGATAAGTTTCACCTTTCCTACAATGTTACACTCATATTCAGGGTGTAACATGTTATGAATGCGCCAGCCCCCGCTCCCCTCCACTCCCCCACTTTGACAGCTATCAGGGAATCTTCTCCCCCTCGCTAGCTGTCAATTTTAAAAAAAAATGTGTGTTCTGTGAATGAAAAAACTACAAGTCGCAATATATTTAGTAGCTGTCAGCTTGTAAGTTCTCAATGAACTAGCACAGCGCTGTGGAGTGCAGTGGTAGGTCACCGAGTCTTCCTGTCAGTATATCTGCTTGCCTGTACATCCTGTACAGGGCAGCAGATATACTGACAGATCTGCAGGAGACTTGCATGGCACCATCAATCGCTGGTGAATTACTTTAGAGGTTCCTGCAACAAAAAATAATAAATGCATGTTTTTTTTAACTGCAAAAAAATGTGTATTTATTATTTTTTGTATAAAAGGTGAAACTTATCCTTTAATTAAAGTGGTAATAGAGCGTCAAAGAAAAAAAAAAACAGCTTACCCCCTGCAAGACAATGGGGTTGATTTACTAAAGGCAAATATTCTGTGCGCTGCAAGTGCATTTGCTCTAGATCTGAGGGGAAGCTTTGAAATGAGGTGAAGCTCTGCTGCTTTCTATCATCCAATCATGTGCAAGCAAAAATGCTGTTTTTTTTTATTTTCCTTCCATGTGATGGGGTATTCTTTGCAAAGTGAAGCTTTACCTCATTTACTAAGCTGTGGACAACTGCACTTGAAGTACACAGTATATTTGTCTTTAGTAAATCAAACCCAATATCATAATGTGCTAGTATAAATCACATACTAGTACATTACAAGAGACTTACCTTAAAACAAAGCCCTCCAGGGAGCGCCGTCATGCATGACATGGCTTCCATCCTTATCCAGTCCCTCCTTCTGAGTTCACAGTCTCTGGCCGCTTGAATGGCCGAGCCATATTGATGTCATTGAAAGCACAGTACGCATGCACTGGTGAAGTCCACAGCTGCTATACAAGTAAATATCTCCTAAACGGTGCACATTTAGGAGATATTCACAGTATCTATAGGTAAACCTTATTATAGGCTTACCTGTAGGTACAAGATAAACAAAGGAGTTTTCCATTGCTTTAACCTCCCTGGCGGTATGATTATGTCAGGAATTTTGTACCAAAAGCGGTACCATTTCTTTGCATGGAAATTTGGTGTTATGTATTGTTGGCCTGCAATTCTTCGTAATTACTTAACTTAATAAATACTCATAAAAAATAATAATATAATAATAAATTTAATTCAATAATATAATCAAACCAAAAACACTGAAATTTGAAATATATAGCGCAAAGTTCGCACATCACTGAGCAAAGTCGCAGAATCGTTTTTCAGTGTCTGATGACGAATTTCCCCCCACGAATCATTATCACTCAATTCTGCAAGTAGTTCTGATTTACTATCGCTGTTCTCTAGCCGGTCTAAAACCAATTTTGACCTAAAGGGACGCTTTTTGGACGCCGTGGACTTTTCTAAGTTTCCAGGCAGAAAGAACAGTCAAAATGCAGGCAGGGCACAGGACAAAGCAGTAGGGACAAAATGTATGTGAAATGCTTTGATACAGGAATGTTTTGCTATGAAATAATCGTTTTTTAAAAAAAAATGGCATTTTTTAAAATTTTCAAATTTGCCGCCGGTTCAGGCGCCCGTACGTCCGGACGTCACAGGGACCGGAACACAGAAGCCAGATGCCGGCATCGGCCGAAGGAGATGGCCGGGGACGCTGCAGGGGACGCATCGCGGGAGCGAAGGACAAGGTAAGCGCTGTAGAGAATCCCTGTGCAACGCCGCATGGTAAGCCCGAGTGTAGCTCGGGGTTACCGCTTTTGGTACTGAAACTTTACCCCGAGCTACACTCGGGAATACCACCAGGGAGGTTAAAGCGAACGTGTCATGTTTTTGCACACATACAAACTCAATTTTTATTATTGTTTAATGCATTTTATTATTCATTACCTAGGTCTTATTCATTGTATTTGCAACACAGTTTTGTAAAGTGAACCCTGGACAAACAGATAAATACAAAGTTAAAAAATACATTTACTGGAGCTGTTTTACCTGCTAAAGGAATTGTCCAGCCAGTCCTAAGATTTACACAAACTCTACTACTAAACTCACCACAAACATTACAATCTGACTTTCCTTCAGATGTACAAAAAAAAAAAAAGTCTGCCTCATTGCATTAAAATTGATAGTATAGTTTTGGAAGGTCCCCATAAATTTTGGTAAATCTAAAGAAAATTGTACAAAAATTTTGCAGTCAGATTGTACTATGTTGATCTAGAGAGCAAAGCCAGCCTGGTGATCTGATTTTTTCACAGCAGTCAGAGGAAACAGCTAGGTCACCTATCTACCATTAGCATGTGACTGGACAGAATAGGAGCAGCGGAAGACTGAAAAGCATTTTTTTGCCCACCTATTTTGCTTTCTCCACCCACCAGCATGATTTTTTGTTAGCACAGTTTCAGACTGGCACTTAGTATTGGCCCTTAAGTAATCTGAATTTGCTATACTGTTCAACATGAGGTTGATACCAGTACAAAACTGAAAAAGGTAAAAGGGTGAGGTGAGCGCAAATCACAAGAAAGCAGCTAGCACACAAGGCAAAATCCTCAACACCAAAAAAACAAAATATACAATATGGTATGCAGCGCTAAACAGTATATCAACCATCAATGTATAGATGGATGAGACAATAAATTTAACAGTCAAAATATGAATAATTCCATGTAGATACAGATATAAATATATATAAATGTTCAAATCCAATACGACTTGTGGATAAATCCAGTAAATGATTGCGCATACCACAAAAAAACATACAAACAGAGCGTTGTATGTATAAGATGGACATCAGGGCCTGGTCAGCAACTAGAACAGCATCCGCGGTCACCATATGAGACTTCCAGGAATGGTGGAAACCCCCCCACGGTCATCTCCGGTTTCACCAGCAGGTCCAACGAAGTCCTCTCCAAGCACTGCTCATCTGGATCACACCCACCTTGGTAGCGCTCATGAGTAATGAGCCAGAGCAAAATGGGCAATGATAGTGAAGTATGTTTTAATGGGTGAACAGTAAAATATATAGTAAAGAACTCACATCATCGGAAAAAACACAGCCCAGGTCAAACGAAAAGGTTCCCTGGTGATCTGTGGTTCCCTGGTAATCTAATGGCGTCTGTTGGGTGGATCCCCAACATGTTTTCGAGCACGCTCGTTGTCAATAGGGGTAGATCCTATCCCAAGGACGCCCAGCATTTAAAATACCGCGGTCGCGCCTGCGCAGTGAGCATCCTCGCGCCGCTGAAATGAATAACGCATGCGCGGGTGACATCACTCATCAGCCGCCGCCGAACCCTATTGCGCATGCGTAGGCGCATGTGCAGGACCCATAATGAATCTCCCTCACACAGCCATCCGCCGCAAGTACGCGGGCTAAAACTCCAAAGGGAAAGCCACCATTGCGCATGCGCAGGCGCATGCGCCAACGTCACTAAAAGGACGAAAATTAAAATATCAAGTCTCCCAACCCTGATGGGCGGGCATTATAAACACAGGGAGGTAAATAATAAGGAAGCCCAGTTTACCTAGCAATCCACAGCGCCCCCATGATATTCAAAACATTAATATAAAAAATGAAAACACTAATAACAGATGTTATGGTATTCTTATAGGGACCACAGATCTTAAACAAATAAATTGTTACTACATGGGAACAACCATTATACTGCAAACCAGGGACACCCCATCAGATTACAAGCACAATGGGGTGCCCAATGGATACAGAGCCCCCCAACAGGAGTCTATACCATAAATATACATTACATCATAATATAATACAATACATATATCAATGCAACCATATGATCGTACAATCATATGACTTGTAACCCCGTACAATAAACAATCAATTGGAATTTATAGTAGTGTAAATCAATAAATAAAATATTAATGTGTAAAAAACATCCTATACTATTCATAAGTGGACACATAAAAATGATAAAATACAATAAAATGAAGTAAAACCTTTTGTTATCCCCTTATTCATATTAGTAGGGCACAGATGATATACATAAATGAAAAAATTGACTATCAGATAAATACAATAAGATGATAATAGTAGAAACTGGATATGTTATTGAAATTCCAAGTAGGCAAAGGGCAAAAAATAGCAGGAAATCAAACTATTATCAATAAAAGAATTAATATCCAAATCAACATTCAAACCTTGAGGTTGTAAAGATTTAAGCTCCACTATCACACTTAGTTTCGACCTGGGACACTGCTCTCCTTTTATGTCCCCCCTCCACTGCTGGGTAATCACATCAATAGCAGTGAATCTTAATGATTGAAGGGTCCCTAGCATGATGATCCCTAAAATGTTTGGATAGTGAGTGGAATTTAAAACCTTTTTTTTATATTATTAATTGTTCCCTTAAGCGATCTCTGAGGGCGCTTGTGGGTTCTACCCACATACTGAAGGTTACAAGAACATTGAAGGAGGTACACTACGTGAGTGGTATTACAAGTAAATATAGGATTAATAACATAGCATTTACCTGTAACATTAGATACAAAATCCTCCACCCTAGTTTTATGTGTGCCATTGTATCTACAGGCAATGCACCTGTTACACGGGTAAAACCCTTTTAAGTCCAAAAGCAGATGACAAAACTCTTAGGTGGATCCACCACATTGGGGGCCACTGTAAGCCTAAGGGGAGGTGCCCTTCTAAAGGTAATCTCAGGACAGTTAGGTAATGCTTCACCCAAAATAGGATCCCCTCTAAGAATGGCCCAGTTTCTTCTTAATTATCCTGGTGACATCCTATGTTGTATGGAAAAAATTCGTAATAAATGGACAAAAAATTTACTGGTCTATTCTCCCCTCCCAGTAAGTAGTACAGTCCTATCGGAGGAGGCAACTTCCTGAATGGTTTGATCAGAATAACAGGATCATACCCTTTTTACTGTAAACCTTTCTAAGCACCAATGATTTGGTGATGATAATCATCTAAACTCGTACAGTTTCTCCTCAACCTGAGAAACTGCCCCTTCGGGATATTCCTTAACCAGGCTGGGTGATGGCAGCTGTCCATGGGTATATACCCATTTTTGTCTGTATTCTTAAAAATAAGTTTTAGTTAAAATCTTACTGCCATCATTAATCAAAACCAAGTCTAAAAAGTTGATTTCCTTAAAGTCATTAAACATAAGACAATTTGATATTCAAACTCTATTGTTGTTAAGAGAGATAAAAAGTTTTTGAGTGAAGACTCATCCCCCTGCCATAAAAGGAACACATCATCAATGTAACGCCTATAAAAGATCAGGGTCGCGCTTAAGGGGAACATTTTAATAATATAAAAAAAGGTTTTTAAATTCCACTCACTATCCAAACATTTTAGGGATCATCATGCTAGGGACCCTTCATCATTAAGATTCACTGCTATTGATGTGATTACCCAGATGGAGGGGGGGGGACATAAAAGGAGAGCAGTGTCCCAGCTCGAAACTAAGTGGATAGTGGCGAGCTTAAATCTTTACAACCTCAAGGGGTTTGAATGTTGATTTGGATATTAATTCTTTTATTGATAATAGTTGATTTCCATGCTATTTTTTGCCCTTTGCCTACTTTGAATTCAATAGATATCCAGTTTCTACTATTATCATCTTTTTTGTATTTACCTGATGTCAATTATTTACATTATGTATATCAACTGTTGCCCTACTTATATGGAATAAGGGGGATAACAAAAGGGTTAACTTCCCATTTTTATTGTATTTTATCATTTTTTCTATTGTGGTCCACTTAGGAATAGTATAGGATGTTTTTTTACACATTACATATTTAATTAATATGATTTACACTACTATAAAATTCCAATTGATTGTTTTTGTTGGGGTTACAAGTCATATGATTGTACGTAATGGTTGCATTGTTTTGTATTGTTTTATTTTTGATGTAATGTATATTTTGGGATAGATCCCGTTGGGGGGCTCTGTATCCCTTGGGGGCCCCCATTGTGTTGTATTGATGGGGGTTTTTCCCTGGATTGCAGTATTTTGGTTGTTCCCGTAGTAACAATTTATTTTTAAGATCTGTGGTCCCCATAAGAATACCATAACATTGTTATTAGTGTTTCTTTTTTTTTAAAAGTTTTTAATATCATGGGGGCCCGTGGTTGTAGGTAAACTGGGCTTCCCTTATTTTCCTCCCTGTTTTTATTGCCCGCCCATCAGGGGTTTGGGAATTTGTATTTTTAAATTTTGTCCTTTAGGAGTTGGGCATGCGCAAAGTGGCTTTCCCTTTGGGGGTTTTTCCGCGACTTGGGACGGATGGTGTGTGAGGGAGATTCTTAGGGTCCCGCGCTGGCCCGC